AAAGCTCAGATGTGAGGGGAGCTCACAGTAGTCGCTGTGCTTTTGTGTAAAACATTGTCTGGATGGATATCTGGACTACCTTCCAAACCTGCTGCCACCACAACCAAACTCTCGATAAGTGACAGAAACTGGGTGGATGGATGTGTCATGGTCTGGGCGCCAGACAGCGTTTTTACATTGGTCAGAATGTAAACTAGCTCATGATGAATTCAAAGTGTAAAAGGTCAAAGACTATATGCACGAGGAATGAGGGGGCATTGTATGTGTGTGAGACAAATAGCAACGGGGAGTATTTATGCTCAGTGACCTTTGGGTCGACAGTTGTGAGTAATGAAATTTGGGCTGAAACAAATTGATTCCTTCAATAATTGTTTAGTCTATGAAATGTTAAAATTATGAATGTCCATCACAAATGTTCAGAGACTTCAATTAACTTAATTGGTATGATCAATAGCCCAAAACCAAAAGAATGGGATTTATATTGAGGTAAAACAAACAATAAGAGTAATAAAATAGCTAAAAATATTTTTAACAAATCTCTGGCCTAATTTGTTTGTGAAAATCCAACATCATTTTTGGACTTATGTTCTAAATGAATATGTGGAAGTGAACAAGCCAACATTGCTGCAGAGACACATCACTTTTAAATCTGTGCATTGGCTTGCAATTACACCGTGCCATATGAAAAGAATCTTTTACAGTAACCTTATTTGAAATCTGACAATAAGAAATATGAAATATGGAGTGGGAGAATGAGGGGTATGACACAAAACACAGCCAAGAAACTTTAAACAATGACAAACACAGTTTCTTTGCTTAGCTGAGGTCAAAAAGTTGGTGTCAACAAATGTGACAAAGAGCAATGAAAACAGACTTTGGAAGTAGAGACTGTAACTTTCCTCAAATTATTACAGAAACAGACCATTTCTATTGTGTTTTCTACACAGGCTGGGGTGAAAAACTATGTTAACATCATTTACATTAGTGGCACCTGACTGGACAATTAGTGCCTCCCCAGCTGTCTTTCTGACTCAATCCTAATGATGGTAAAACTGTAGTGAATAGAATGAGAAACATTTTCTCCTTCTTACTTTATAAAAGTTCTGCTAAAAAGTGTAATACATTTGGATGGATATCTATTGAAATTAAGATTAAATTAAAACAATCCTAACATTATGCTTCATATTATAATTAAATGCTTTAGATTTTTACTAAATGTTTGATTTGATAACAGTGCATACGTCACAAAATTATTTATTTGGAATAATAAGCGTGTAACAATCACTGGGTTTAATTACTCCTTTCCCATCCAGCCTGTAACAGCCAAACAAAAATGTTAATGTGTTTTTCCTAGGGGCTGTAAGTCATTTCAAACTATTGATGTGAGGTATAAAAATACATTTGCTGATGATTCTACAGAGATCTGTAATATGTGTAACTGTGTATGTATGTTCCCACATCTTAATCCATAGTACAATTGTTCCATATTATTAGGACCAGATGAAAGATTACATAGGAGAAGAACTGAATGTGTTTTTGTCTGCATGAAGAAACAACAGGGACGGACTGTTTGTAAAATACAGGGGGTTTTGGGGGTCTCCGCCCCCCAGAATAACTGTTCAGGCCCCTTCAAAATCTCAAAATAGAATTTTGGTAGTGGTGGTGGGTTTTAGAAATGTGCCAAAGTCCTTGCTATTTAAATGCATGTAACTTTATATATGGTTAATAGTTTTTTAACCCTTAATATATATAAGCCTATTGTATTCACTGTTTTTATGATGTTTTACCAAAAGTGATCCAGAAAGTTGCTGCGTTCAGACTGTTAAAGATGTAAGCATCGCCGACCTTATCTCTACCTACAGCTGCTTTTGTCAGAACCAAACCATTATAAAGTACAAAAACAGACACAGAGTGGGCCTATATCTTCACGGTAGTAGCAAAGGTATGTCTTTGTGAATCTTGATCATCTGGTGAACTTTTAACTGAGTGAAAGGAACAAGGTTGGAATGACTCGACCCACTGTCAGTCATGTCTGTAACACTGAATGTGTAAGTCCCTTTGGTGCATTTAATGCCGGCTAGAGCACACAGCAGCATTCACCGCAAAGGTGAATGGAATTACAGGATGTGACAAACATGGCAGACGTCAAATACAGTGACGTGACGGTGGCTGCTGAAACGCTGGAACTTAGCACCACCTAGTGGTTAAGACTGGGTGATGTAAACAACCGGACTGAATGCTGAGGGAAGACAATGAGCACCTTGTATAAAGGAAAACCTTAGGGCACTCAGCGTTGTCTTCATATCAACACTCAGCACCTTGCAGTCTTTGTCTCTGTTCACTAGTTCAACATTTAAAATCTCTCATCTCATTACAATAAAGAACCGGAACCTAATGGGTGATGTATCAGTCTATTTCACACAGTTTGCAAGAGAAAAGTGGTGGGAAAGAAATAAAACATTTACTTAAGTAAATGTAAACTTAAGTACAGGTTGAGTACTTCCTTTTTAATGATATAGAACTTTATACCTGCTACTGCATTTCAGAGGGAAATGCTATAATTTAAACATCGTTTATACTAGCATATTTGATTTAGTGATAGGTTATTTTATTTGACACAAGCTTCTAAAACATCACACATTAAATTCCTGTTTTGCACATAAAAAGAATTAGTAATATCAATATCATAATTAAATGGATATTTTTGCCACAAGAGGAAATTTTCAAAAATAAGTATTTAGCTGTACTTCTGTTTAAGTGCTGTGCAATAATGAACTTTTAATGGATTATTTTAAAATTGCAGTGTTTGCACTTCTACTTTTAAGTAAGGTAGTGTTGGTTTTAATGTATACAGACCATTCTTTTGAATTACTAGTTTACTAAATTTAGCCTGACAGTGAATGGTGGATGGACCAAAAGTATGAGGACAGAGAAAGAATTTAGGAACCATTGGACAGTCTAAGAACAAACTACAGTATTTACACACCACCACAGAAGCAGAGATATGTATTTGTGCATCGCTGAGGCTAAACCACCAAAACAGCACATGAAACTGTGTTCACAATCTGATGCCTCTTTTTCTGGTGACCTGCAATATGTGTATGTGCCTGTGGTGTTCAGTGGCGTCTGTGTGAATGTGTCTCAGAAAGGCTTTGTAAAGCATGCCGGTGAGAAAACCAGTGGTACTTAACCAGCAGGATTTGACAGTAGTCATGGAAACGTATCCTCTGCATCCAATCTTCCTCAATGTGTTGAGTTGGTGGTGCACAAGGCAATATTGTGGGCAATTCAGAAAGGCAATGATTGAGGTAATAGGACGGGGGGGGGGAAATGACAGAATACTGCACCCAGTTTCAACTTCAACATTTTAACAAAGCAAATGTTTTTGAACCCTGATTTTTCCTTTTAATCCCAAAGTTTTTTTTTCAGAATTGTATGACTTATTTGTTCTGTATTTCACAAGAAGACACAACCATTGACCTCAGAGGCACGATCACCCTGCTGTGACAGGCTCCCAGCAACATAACCATCTTAGGTGTTGTGTCTTCTTGTGAGCACTTTTAGATTAGTCAGCTATGCTCGACACAGTAAATCACAGTGTTCTGCTATCTCGTCTTGCTGGCTATGTTGGTATTTGTGGTGTTGCCCTGAGATGGTTTGACTCACACCTGTGGGATAGGAGTTCCTCTGTTCATATTGGGGACTATTTCTTGTCCACTGCTCCTCTTACCTGTGAGGCCTTCCTTTTGGTTTTATCTTTGAAAAATATCTTGTCATTGTTATGCTGACAATATTCAAATTTATTTGCCTGTGACTGGAAAGAAGAACTGCTCAATATCATCCTTATTTGACTGCCAGCATTATTTAAAAACATGGCTCTCTTTAAATTTCTTACACATTAATTAAAGTAAGACTGAGTGTGTACTGTTTGGTAGCCCTGGTGGTTTCTATAAATTTGACCTTGGCCCTATATGGCCGCTTATTTGAAGCTGCAGGTAAAAAAAAAAATTAGGGGTTATATTTGATAGTGCCCTTAAATTGGATAAGCAGGTCAATTCACTGGGTAAAGAAAGCTTTTTTTAATTTGCATTTATTAGCCAAGGGTTAGCATTTCCTTTCATTCAATGACTTTGAGAAGACAATTCATGCATGTATTACCTCTAAAACTGATTAGTGTAACACTGTGTATTGGGATCCCTTCGTCTTCACTGTCTCGTCTTCAGTTGGTCCAGAATGTAGATCATCTTTTGAAGAATACTTAACCCTGATTTTACATTGGCTTTCTGTGTGTTTCAGGATTACTTTCAAGGTTTCATTTTTTATTTTTAAAGCTTTGCACTGCTTGGCGCCTTCAGAGCTCTTACACTGTGAATTTCCACAGTGATTTTCCAACCAGTTGCTCTTAGAGGTGCCTAAATCTAGACTTAACAATTACGGTGACTGGGCCTTTGCTGCAGTGGACCCTAAATTGTGGACTAGCCTCCCACTTGAGATTCAGTCTGCCTCTGATTTCTCTGCCTTTCACTCTCTCCTTAAAACTCATTTATTTAGGCAGGTGGTTGTCACGGGCACTGATTAGGCCATCTATGTGTCTGTCTTTTTTGGTTTTGGTTCTTTTTCTGTCCTATTTCTATTGTGTTTATCTAACTGTTGCTCAACACTTTTTTTGCATTTGTCTTAAAGTTATGTTTTTTTTATTGTATAAGACCTTGTAACTTCAGTTTATAAATGTGCTATATAAATAAATTTTTACTTACTTATTTGCTTGTTATGACACTTGACTTGAAAAAAAAGGAAGGAAAGACCCCAAAAGCTGTAAATATGTTTTGTGGCCTTGCTCAGCTGCCTGAGTTTTGTTTTTTATTGTGTCTGTTTTTTTTTCCCCTGCATCATATTATGTCATTTGTTTTTTGTCTCTTTGTGTTTTCCGGAAGATCACAGTCATACACACACACACGATAAAAAAAAAAGATTGAGACAAGCAAAAATGTGTTGTTCAGTTTGTGTAATTAGAAAACGCTTGACATCTTCAAATCATTTCATAAAAAGATCATTGATTTCAAGTCCTCGGTTTCCTTTCTTTAGAACACATACAGTACCAAAGACAAAATAAAAAAGAATTTAAAAAAATTACAGTGCTTCGTCAAAGCTTGAGCATCAAAGTACAATTAGGAGCACTTTCACATGGACCTCAAACTCCCCAACGACAGCAGGGGGTTGCTAACAGTAGTACATGACAACAACACAGGCAACATACAGTTGTCAGCTTGTGTTTCACTATCACATGAACAACAGACAAGAGGAGAGGTTTTTGTAGACAAAGGGCAGCAGGAGGAAAGCCAAGGTAGCATCATTTTTATCATTGCCCACTCAATGCAACACTAATACAAGTGCTGAAATATAATAAATAAATTATTTGCATAAATAAGGTCAATAATAAAAAGTAAAAGTAGGCAAAGCTGCTTTGGCACTTTTGTACTGTGATAATCAGGCCCAAATAACAGTCCTGATTTGTTGGTTTGCATGTCATGCCAATTGCGTATTACCCTTGGCAACTTATAAGCTACATATCCCGTTTGAAAGGCACAGTCACACCAGGTTATACGACTGAGAGCTTCTAAGGCTTACAGGAAATTAAAATAGTAATAAAAAAAAAAATCTCATTCTTACTTAAAATTCTGTGGTGAGCTGCACAACATACTGTTGAGAAAGGCTTAGTTCCAAGGATTAGTTATTAGCGTCATGTCAATGGGAGTTCCAACTTCTGGAACAGAACCTGGAAGTTCTGCTTTCACTTAGGCTCTTTAGGCCAGTTTAACAGTGTTGACAGAAGGGACAGCTGGAGAGCCGAGGTGTCTAACAGGACATACGTAGAAGTGGATGGTGCAATGTAGCAAACAAGCTACGATAGTGTCCTCCATTTTACACTTTCCCCACACAAAGGTCAGCTGCCAAGTCAGCTTGAATTGGTGAAGCTGTGAATTGAGGTATCAAAATTAAAAATTGAACTTGACGCAATAATCCTTTAAATGCTGATGTGACCAGGCCTTTATTGTGTTCACACACACACACACTTTCCAGACTTCTAAGTGCTTTTGTTTGTGCAGTTATTTCTATAGGAGAGAAGCACCAAAGCTTTCTACTACACCCTGGCAAACTGTAATGAAAACAGTCAACAATACAGATGTATTTCATGTAGATCACAAATGCATTGTGGTCTCCTTTTTTTGTGGTACTGCTTTTAAATATCAATAGGTCATTGATCTCTTGTTCATGTGTCCAAAGATGCACGTGCTTCTCTAATTGCAAATATATTTGTGCTGCTGTAGTGTGACAAATGTTATGTTCACATTATACTGTATAAGTCCTTTAGATCTTGGCTCAAAATATGACAGGATATGCAAATGATTTGGCTTCATTATTACTGACTTAGACAATTTTACAGTATATAAGAACATGGCTTTTTCTGTGGGTAGAAAATAAGGTCTCACTATTTTCCTGGGGACAGAACAGAGGGAGAAGATGGTTACACAGTAAATGCCTCGTCATAAATGCCTCATCCACATGGCATATGACATGTAGCTGTTTCATTGTCTTCTGAAGAAAAATGGCATGTACAGAAATGTCATCAGACTCACATTCTAGAAAGTGATTTGAACTCATTTTAAAAAGGTTTTGTGAAATCTGCAGAATGCTTCTTAGTAGATAAAACCTGTGCGGCACCAGCCTGTCAATCATACAGTACACACACACACACACACACACGCAGTCACATGATGCAGAAAGCAACATGTTAGAACTCATCTTGTACATCATGTAAAGCTGTGTGTGTGTGTTATTTTTTTTATTCATGTGATTACATGTCTTTATGTATATGCATATGTTAAGATGCTGTGTCATTATGGCTAAGAGAAGGCTGTTGGCATAAAGGAAGTACCCTCCCACTTTAGCACACACGCACACACACAGTTACACATGGTGCTTTATGCAGCACCTACACACGCACATAGTGTGAAATCTCAGACATCATAACCTGGCATGCTTGTTGACGATGACACCGTCTTCAGGCAGGTCTTTGACAGGCAGGTCGCTTACATCTCCTGCACCCTGGTCGGTGCTCTCACAGCTGCTCTGAGGCGACTCAGGAGGAGGCTGGTACAGGACGGTGGCTAACAGAAAAAATACTGCCCCCAAAACCTGAAAAAGAGGGGGACAGTAGTGAGGGGGAATTTCCAGATAAGTGACACAAAAAATATTTCATGAACAGGTGGCTGTGTATGTTTTCATTTAAGCACCTTACCTGGTATTTAGTTTAAGTTTTCATCTTAAGATAATTTTTTTTTGGCATTTTAGAAAGAGGATTTAGAAGATTTTTGGAAAATGAATGCCCCTCTTATGTCTGTCCATTCAGTGTGAGTCTAGAGGCAGGAGGCGATTAGTGTCGTGTAAAGACAGTCAGAGGTTCTAAAATACACTTACCAATACCTGCAAAGCTCGCTGCCGTAATAGACTCAATGTAAGATAATGGTTCCTATTTTCACGGACACGGACCAATGATCAGCGCAGGCAGCTCTCTGTCCATTTTGTATTTACCTGATCCTGCAATTGGCTTTGCCTGGTTGTGTGCAAGCAGGAGGGAGGGTTGTTAAAATGAAGCAGCGCAAAGTGAGTTGTTGGTATTTTTGTGGAAAACATGTTTTGCTGAAATGAAACTGAAATAGTTTTGGACTGATGTGGTCTTTTGGTATCATCTAATGTTTTCTATTACGTGACTGATACTGTTTTCTGGAAATGGAATTTGAAAAAAGTAGGAGTCATATTATATTTGAGGACATAGTATTATCTTTAAATAAAGGATTTCCCGATGTAACACTGCCTCCTACAGAAAGTGGTGCCTGACTGTGGCTAGGCTAGCATGTCTCTCCAAGGCAGTTTATAGTATCTTTTAGAGTTTCAGTCCTAAAAGTCTTTATGAAACCTAGTTTAAACAACAAGTTTCTAACATGCTTTGCTGCCACAGAGGCAATGGGATGGGGACCCATTAGCTTGTCAAGCATCTGAGAATTACTGTTGTCACATCTGATAAAAATGTTGACCAAATCATTTTAACCGCTGAAGTCAGAAGAAAGTGAATGATAGGCAAGTCAGATACATAAACGATTTACGCTCAGCTTCAACAGAAATATGCAGTGACTTCACACAACTCCCTCTGCAGTCACAACACCAGGACACACACTTTGAGGTGGAGTAGTTGAAGAGAAGCAGAGAAAAGTCTTCAAATCTGTAAACTAAGATTCTGTACATTGAATGTGACACTGCAATAAATGACCCCTTACTCTGTGTATTAGAATTACCTTATAAATGATGCCAGCCACTAGTGTGTACTGACTCATGGTTGAGTTGTGATAGAGGTAGCAGGAGCCCTGCTCGCCACACCGATCCTGCCAGAGTAGGCAGGAGATGTCGATCACAGAGCCAAATGCTATGGGTCCTGGAATACCACCTGTGAGGAACAATGGACAGAACAGACAAAGCATGGCATCTGTGTGGAGAAAATTCCTCACTCTGGTTATAATTAAAAGATTAAAAGTAAACTCAAAGTAGACCTACCAAGTGTGCGCACCACAATCCACTGGATGCCAAGCCCAAAGGATCTCTGGCTGTCTGGCACACACCTACACAGGAGCACTGATTAGATATGCAGGCACACTGAATCTGAAACCTCATTACAATAGTTTGACACTTTTGTGTGTTCCTCTGCATCACAGGTTGTTCTGACAGTGCTATGACATCTCCTGCTGTCACAAACCCTCTGCCATCCACTGGAATCATTACTGAGCTGTTGTTACAAGAGATCAGCGGTGGCAACTATCTCTGAGCACAATGTTCGTGTGCAGGGTTGTAAACAGACAACAAGTTGATTGATGGCTACACTATTACCCCCCATTTCCACCGGATCTGACTGCTTTGTATTCCATCTGTGACCTGGGTTTCATCCGTCCTCTGTGCAGCTTCATCCCCAGCCAGGTCCGTCTGCAGCTCGTTGCGGTGCAGATTGTTTCAGGTAGGATACTGTTCTCTGTTTTTGAGCTTCTACAGTAAATAGGCTTTGTGGTTGAATGGTTTCTTCTGTCTGTTAATTGTGTTTACTGTTCTTGTTTCCTACTTGTGCTGTAGCCCACAAACAACAACTATAGTTATCGGTTACATTTAATTTAGCGGTTACAGTCAAGTCATTATGAATTATGGATCAAAGATTTGTGGCTATGTTTCAGTTGTTAAAAGAACATTCATCCTAATCATTTTGTAGCCTCTCTATGTTTCACAGAGAGGCAAGGCGCCATCTGATTGGTGGGTCAAAGTTTGTCAGAGGTGTCCCAGATGTGGCATCTGTCAAAAATATACTAGTTGTGTATCATTAGCGAAGCGGATTGGAGAGCTGCATGTGGGATGAATCGGAGACAGAACTCAGCCGGACCCAGCGGGAATACAACCATTGACAAGACTGGCAGTGATCAGCTCCGGCACAACGCAGCCAGGTCAGGTGGAAATTAGCGGTAGAGATTCCCAATTTTCATGATTTCCCTTTCAAAGATAAACATGTTTTTTAAATGAAGAATGACAATGTTCCAGTGGTTGGCAGGGTTGCAGGAAGATTACTCAGCAACCCCTCACCTCTACTACTGTTGTTAACGTGAACCCATACTGTGTATGCAAAGAGAAAAATGCTGCTACAGTATTTTCTTGAAAACACTGCACTGTCTTCACATTAAACGCAGTTGTCCGATTTTGCAGAAACATAAGCACTGAGTAATGGTCACTACATTGTTGTGAAATGGAACTTGAAAACACTGCTGTGGCCAAGCATCAAACCCAGGACAGATTCTCCCCCTGGGCCTGAGTGCAAATGCGCAGCTGCGGCAGCCATGTCCATGGTCAGCTAAGGCAGCTAAGTTCTCCTCATTGGTCAAGGTCAAGAATCAGTAATAAAAACACAAAACAACGAGTAGTTTAACATAATATTGGTGCTTCTGACAATAACAAACTAATGAACAGACTCAGCAATACTCAACAACAGAAGCAGAATCTTCAGTGCAACCATCTGTTTTGTTTCCGTTTAAAGGATTCACTATAGCTGCCCACCTGAGTGTGGCGGTGAGCGCCGGGATGCTACAGAGGAAGGTGAAGAAGATGATGATGAAGAGGAAGGAGAGGAAGGCTGGCATGTGCCACACTTCCCCGCCAGAGCAAAGCCTTTTTCGCCCCAGGACACATTACCCACCACACAGCTACACCCAGAGTAAACCTAGAACACAGAACATCCTGAGGTCATTAGATAATGAACTCCCACTCATATTTGCCAAGTTCTCATTCATCCAAAGGTTAATGTTGTTTACATGGGTTACATCAACAAGCACATTAATAATAACAGAGAAACACAGGAGCTTGTACTTGTTAAAGAAGCGTTTTCCATTAGCACATATACCCCCACTCTGAACAGTGGCCTAAAAGCTTTTTCTTTGAACTTGAAGTTGTTTAAATGACATTGGGAACATTGATTTGTGTTCCAGCTAACAGCAAAGGCCTGTGACCGCAGTGGTCTAAACAATGCAGCTGAGCCATCAGCTGGCACACTTGTTGTTTATTAGCTGTTGCTTCTGAGCTAGGCACCTCTGGTGACAAGGATGAGAAAGGACTATTTTGTAACCGATTTCAAACACTCAGTCTACTTTTAAACTTCTATCACAGTGCACTTAAAACCTGGCTGTGATGTGGAGAGGGGTCAGCCTGCATGTAATGTACTGTATACTGGGTGCAGACACCCAGTAGAGCTTTTACTTAAGAAGTAGCAAAAGTGCAATTTATAAAACACTACCACAAATATGTACTTTGGTACAGTACCTGAGTCAGTGAGTTACTTTCCACCACTGTTCCCTGCTGTACAGTGTAATTAATTGATGTTAAAGGCTGCCACTTTATTTATTTGCTTATTATTATTATTATTATTATTATTATTATTATTATTATTATTATTATTATTATTATTATTATTATTATTATTATTATTATTATTATTATTATTATTATTACTTACCGATGGTTAATTCACTCACAGCACTATGTACAGTAAGAATCACACATACAGGACCACAAATAACTGGGCGGTTACTCATGTTTCATGCTAACATCACATCCTGAATATCATCAAAAGTGAGCTAAGACTCTTAATCCTGCTATGTGGTGGTGTGTCCTCAGCTCACGTCACATGGTAGCATCACAAAGCAAACAAACAAACAAAAAGATAAACCTAAATAATCTACTCCCTGACATTAAAGTAAAAGCAACGATGTCCCAAGCTGATCTGCAGGCTCCATATCAAAGCCAGTGTAGGTGGCTTTGAATCAATTAATCATTACATTTTTAATTAAATGCTGAAAATGCCTGCCTGTTAAAACTGACAGCAGTGTTATACTGTAAGCAACTGACCCACAGAACATTGTATTGCAGTAACATTTTGCTGGTTGAAGAGCTGCTCTTGGTAGAAAACTGCATTATTCTTTTCATGCTCTACAGTAAATCTTGTCTAGACCTTCCTGCAGATTCACACCAGTTATAAAGACATATTATAAAAGGACACAATATAAAAGGTCATAGGAAGAAAAGCTGTAATGGAGGTAATATTTTGTTAATGCAGTTATTCAGCCGTCCAACACATGTAAACTACTTCATTTTAATACCACGTGAATGTCTGACACTTACACCTCAGTACAGAGATGTTAGAGACAGTTTGATGATGAACAGAAAGGGAAAAAAAGCTATGATATACAGGATATAACCAGTGTGTTATATCATATCAAATATGATTATAGTGATTTTAGTAATTAGCATGCATCTCAACACACCCATTGACAGACAAGGCTAGAAATGAGCAGAAATGAATGAAGCTGAATAACCAAAATGAAACCTAAAAATCACTAAATTATGTCATTTTATTCTTTTTTAAAGGCTACATTTAACATTAAACTGCCTTTTTTACATATTTTAGTTTGCATCAAAATGCTCCAGGGTTGGTTTCATAAGCCTGTTAAGGAAATAAGTGTCTCCACTGCATTTTCTGTTTTTAACACTGAACATGTACATAACTATGATTACACCAAACTAATCTGAATGCATGGCTGCTTGTTAACGCCTGATGTCATGAGACACAGAGGAAAATGTATGTTTTCAGCAGAATGATGCACCACGTCTGCAGGAGGGAATGCTTAAGAATTCTGGAGTAAATATTTGCAAATACTTAGAGCAAGGTTTACAGCTGTGTGCTTTCCTTACGTAGTATTACCTTTGAGCATCCACACAGCATCGGAGGTTAGTAAAACGAATCTAATTTCTTTCTAGCCAAAGAAAAAGACATGAGCAGTGTGTGTGCCTACCTGTTTGCCAGTGGAGCGTTCGGTATGATTGATGGCGTTGCAGCCAGCGTGGCAGGGGGAGTAATACATCACACCATCTGCCCCACATACTGGGTTATATAGCTCTCTGACACAACTGCACTCTGCATTACAGCCCACTGTCAGGTTCTCCTCTAAAGATGAGCTGCAGACATGGCAGAGAGAAACGACAGGGACAAAACAAAGCAGGGAGAACTAAATTACCATAAAAATATAAAATGATTACAGCTACACTAAGATTAAAACTAATCAGATAAACAGAATGATACACTGTTTATCAGAAAACAGAATCAGGTGCTGACATTAACGCTGCGCACCTGTTTCTAAGGCGCAGCTCACTGGGCTTGTCATACAGGTGTTTGTACTGGTCCTGTTGGTGTTCCTCCAGTAGATCAGACTGGTACGGAGCTGTGACACCAGCCATGGGAATGTTGGGGCAGTGGACGAAAAAGATGAAGATGGAGACTAGACTGACCATTGCACACATCATGCAGAAACGGATGATGCCTCGACAGCGCAGGTTCATTCTCTTCACGATGTAGCCACCCAGGAATGTGCCGCCACCTCCTGCTGGTACCACCATGTATCCTGAACATGAAGACACAGGCCCTCAGGCTACACTTCCATTCCAAAGTGCAAGAGTAAATGCAGCTCAACACAAACAGCGAGACAAAGATATTTATGGAATTAGCTGAGAATATTCCCAGTCTTCAGAGGCTGAATGATAAATGTTTTTGGTGACCCCCAGACCTTTCTTTGAACACCATTATCAGGTCACAATTTTAATTCTCAACTCTGAATCTCAACTCCAACAGGCAAATTCTTTTTTTTTTTACTGAGCACACAGGATAAACATCTTGATGATGCTATTAGCGTTCCTGTAGCTCCACACATGGGGCAAAATTTCCAGTTTGCACTCAAGACACTGAATCACATAAAAGACAGATAAGATTTGGTTTACTAGAGAGAAATTTACTGTTTAAAGAGAGTGAAACAGTAAAACAGAAAGTCAAATTTAATGCTTTTTAATGTCAGATTAGTATCTGCTTAGATTGAAAATGAATTCAGTGAAAGTACATGCTACATAAGGGACTGCATAAAACAACTTGTTCTGGACTGAAAAAAGAAAAAAAAAATTAAATAATCCTCTACTATTTATTTTCTAAAAACTTCCGAAAAGCATTCTGGCAAGTCTGGTGTAGTGAAATATCACAAAGAAGCACCTTCTTGTTGTGAGCGAACATAAGGTCAGTGGAAATTAGGTGAAAAAGTGTCAGTTCATAGTCAAAACAGCAAGTCTGTCTTGGCACTTTACAGTTGGAACCATGAATAGGAAATAAATGATACAGAGCTGCTTTGCCTTGGACTTTGCATCATGTGTCGTACTGTATTAGACACTCACCAAACCATGTGGCAGCCTCTGATGCACTGAGACTGAACTGTGACTCCAAGAACTTTGGACCAAAGGTGGACATGCCAGCAATGAGGGTGGCCTCGGTAGCTCCAGCCAAGCACAGAAACAGGAACGTTGGATTCTTTAAGAGAAGCAGAACAGACCTGGAACGAGACAGAGAAAAAGTAAGAAGTGACAGCGTGTGCATCTAACTGAATAAACTTTAGCTTCCTTTTTTTAATTAAACTGGACCACTCTAATGTCAACAGCCTGGAGATGTTCCTGATACAGTACAGATAGACATTGCATTTTATATCCAAACATGTATCATCATGATACATAACGTGACATTATGACTGCCTTAATCTGTCTCTGTAATCCCCAGAGCTACAGAGATGACATGGCTGTTGCAGAGCTCAGTGTAAACATACTGTAGCTGTCAACTGAAAAGAGGCAGGGCTGTCACTTCTCTGTAAAGCTCTGCAGTCACAACATTTCTATCTGAGCAGACACCGTCAAGGAAAGCAACTTTTATTTTCTTTATATTCTAATCAGTTGATGAAAGGATCGCTGTTACTGAGTTATCAGAAAAGATCTGTCATCTGCCTTCACACATTCATTCATAATAGAGGTGTTTTCAGTTTACACACAATCAAGGATTAGTACACAGCCGAGGGAAGGCGGGTGAGGCTAGAAAACACATAGTCATAATGCAAGGGCGTATAGTTTGGTCTCAACATTGGTAGGGGCAAAATACCCCGCCCTCCAAACCTACTCCTTTAGCCGTTATCAGCACAATGACCGCCAGCTGTCCTCTGTGTCTGGGAGCAAACATGGCATGAGCTTTAGGTCACCCCCTCCCTTTCAGTAGGTCAAGCACTTCAGAATGGTCACCCCCTCCCTTTCAGTAGGTTAAGCACTTCAGAATGATCTAACATGACTTCATTCCAGAGTATGTGCAAGGGTTTCTTCCTAGAAACATTAGCATTAAAAAGCATTATCATACAGCATATAAAATGTTTGTTCTCTTGTTTACTAACATAATTTAGGACCACAGAAGGATATTACCAATGTTAGCATGTATATTATGAGCCTCCTGCTGTTGTGTCATCAGACTGGCAAGTTTTTCCACCCAGCTGGCCTAGTTTGTCTTTAATGGGGCAGACAAACAAACTGCTGATTGGGATGTGCTGTTATAGTCTGGGATGCTGTTTGTAGCATTATGCTGGTTTCCACCTATGAAGAGCTGGCAATATTCCAAAGGTTTTAGTAAAGGAACAGAGGGAGAGACATGAGGTAAAGCTAGTGAGTCAGGTGAAAAGGGGCAGCTGCATGCAGGTGTCAAAAAAATCAAAAACAGTTGCAGCAGCATCTGTGAAGCACAGTTTATGGACGTAACTAAGGTTAAGCAAACTGGCATGCTTAATTTTCCAAAAGAAATAATGGTTAAAAACTAGAGCTGAAGTTGCAGCCCACATTTTAACTAACTGAATCTATGCCAGCTTTTTACTTCCTGTTTCTTGCTAAAGTTTACATCTGTTTCTTCCTCATGGGCTTCTGTTCAAAATATCACCACCACCACCACCTTATTAAAATCTAGGGCTCTGACCATGCACAAAAACAACTTTCTGACATACTGATGCTCTTACTCCTTGTGGTTTATGTGCCAGCCCCCACATGTCTCATGATGCTGTCTATGCTATATCCAAAACAAGTCCTCTGCTGTGCTGTTGTTGTGGAAGTGAGTGGACTACCTTGGCATGTCTTTGACTGATTTGCCAAACTGAGGGTCTGAGGCTGTGGTGTGGCTTCCATCCTTAAGCTGGTGGGCTTCAGACACTCGCATGGCCACATACTCCTGAGAGCCTGCAGGAAGAGGCAAAGGAAGAGTGACAAGATGAAACTGGACATTCCTTTAAAATGAAACGTGATACTCTGTGGTTTCTTTACTTCCTTCTTGTTGCAAGAGAGAGTGTGTGTGTTTGTAAGACAGGCTCATGGTAATGGATGTGAGTGTCACCTGGGAGCTGTCGTGGGTACCCAAGGATGGGGAATGCTACGAGTAGAGCAGCTGCTCCTCCTGCGAGGAAGCCAATCCACCAAACTCCAACCCACAGAGGGTTCTCTGGAGTCATTTCTGTCCTGTGACAACACACGCCCACATTTTTAAATCATGTCTACAAATACTGATCCCTAAATGCTAGTTCAATGCATCCTGTGTGTGAAATTTCTATTCTGTTCTCCACTTGGCTTTTCTACATTCTCCTATTCTCTTCTGCATGCATACAGTCTATTATAAACTGTCCAAAAGTATTCACTATTTTCTATATAATGCACTACATTTACTTCCCTCAATTTTATTTGAATATCTGAATCTGTAAATGTATTTAATTTAGTATTAGTGCCCTTAAAAAATCTGCAATGGAACCAAAAGTACTTTCTGTTAACAATCCCACAGTGTAATGTACTCCTTTATATAGATACTAAAATTACAGTTGCTTGACTATACAACTGTCAATGATGGCACAGAATATGCATCATTAAAAATATTTAATGTATATAAAATATGTACATAATCTAACCTTATTGCTCACTCCCTCCTTGTTGATTCCCTGCTTGCTACAGTATATAAAGCACACTGAGTAGTGTACTCAGTAATGAACAGTAATTGGAAATTTTGAGCATCACTACCAGATGTCGAGTCACACAATGCAGAAAGTACGTGACTTCTCTTTGCATCCCACTGTGGAATTTCTGAGGGCACTATTCTATAGTGGATATGGAGTATTTACATACTCATAACTTTGTTAAATTAAATGTGGCTCTCCCTGCTCCCTGTGTAGTGCACTACACAGGGAGCAGGGAATGATTTCAAACACAGTCCTAGTTTATTACACTCTAGTTTGTTCTGTTCTTCCCTGTTCTACTAAACAGTTCTGTTCTGTTCTAGCCCTCAGAGGCCCACAGTCATAAAATTACAACATATATTTTAAACTGACTAGTAGTACTAATTCCTGACTAAATGAAGCCAGACACTGCATATCTCAGCATCCCATAATCTGAACTGTATTACTGCAACATTTTGGCAGGAAAATATTAACACAGTAATCTTTAACACATTACAAGTTCAAACAACTAGGCTGTCTCCCACTGGCCCTCCCAGCTCTCCCATTTAGACCAGTTTCAACAATCTTCTAAGTAAGTATTAGACCTGTAGTCTTTTCAAAAGATGTTTAGTAAAAGAACATTTTAATAATTTCTCTAAAAAAGTAAAATACACATGATTTGGATGAATCAATTTTAATGTTGCAAAAATTGGAACACTGGGCTTCAATGGGCATCACTTACTGTATTTAAATCCATAAACCTAAAATTAAAATGGTGATACTTGTAACCACAAAGACCCAGTATTGCAATTTTGCAACTTTTTCAAAAAACCTTTAACAAAAATTTAAGAACTCATTTTCTAGTTCGAAGGCTTGCTAAAAAACAATCTAGAAAAGAAAAAATAACTTTTTCCATCAATAAAATCAGAGGGCTAGTCTCTCCCAGTCTACTCTAGGCTGTTACATTCTAGTTAGTTTGATTCTAGTCTGTTCCAGTCTATTATATTCTGCTCTGTTCTAGTCTATGCTACGCCATTCTAGTCCATTCTGCCATCCAAAGCAGACTCACGACAGGTGAATCTCGGTGTAAATGTTCAGGAAGTATCCTCCCAGCAGGTAGCCTGCTGCTGGACCCACAATGGCTGCAGTGTAGAAGATCCCTGGGGAGAGAGACCACAGAACCACGGGTCAATGCGGTCAGTGTCTACTTCCTATTTCCTACTTACCTCTTCCTGTTCTGCAGGTTAAAAAGGCTCCCATTGTTTTTTTGTTTCATTTTTTTTTTACTGGGCTCTGTATCTACAAGCTACAAGCTTGAAATGAGAAACTGTGTGTTTTTCTGAGAGCTTGGGTTACACTGTTCTCTTCTGCTGTTGGAAATAGGGAAATGTATTGTGTTTACAGATGTTCAGAGTATAAGCTGAAGAGTGAAGATGGATGGTGACAGAAGCCGAACAAAGTCAGAATACACAGTCACAACAATGAATATCATAAGTCTGTTGACATAAATCCACTGTGTTGAAATTTTTAACTCCCCATAACGCTAAATCAATGGGAGCCCTGAACTTGTTTCTCTGCAACGAGACTGAGGGTAATAGGAGACAATGACACCCGAAGTGTGTTGCTTATGTTCAGTCTACTCCGTTGTTTTGTTTTGGTTGCTGTCGCTGCAGAAAACCCCGCTTCACACAGATAGGATGTCGGAAATGGCAACAGGGTTTTCAGTGCTGTGGTGGCGATCTCAGGGTATTCTGTCATGACTTTAATCCAGAACACCGACAGAGTTGTTGTCTCGAACATACTTTTAAGGCCGCCGTCATTTGCGATCTCCAGCAGTTGATCTTCTTCTTGCACAGACATGCTGGATTCACCTGGTTTGTTGACAAATGGGTTGCGGATCCATTCCTTGGCAGTTCGTGGGTCCTTTGTGGTTGGGAAGTAGCGCTCGAACTCTTTTAAAAGCAAAGACAGGTGATCGTGCACCAGCTGGGAGAATGAAGGCTCAGGCTCAGTCTCACCCAAAATCCCCACTAATGTTTGAAACATGTCCAAAATGCCTCTGTGGACGCGCCGTCCCCACAAATCCAGTTTGGCTTTAAATGCAACTACTTTATCTGCCAACTTGAAGACAGTTGTCATTTTCCCCTGAAGTGACAGATTGAGTTCATTGAGCAGGCTGAATATGTCCACAAGTAAGCCAGTTTTGGCGCTCAAGTGACCGAGATGTAACCGAGAGAATGCGGTCATTTTTCAAAATAAAAGATCGTTCAGACTCAGATAATAAATAAAACGGAAATAATTAATGATTTCTTGTGCGGCCCGGTACCAATTGATCCACGGACCGGTACCGGTCCGCGGCCCGGGGGTTGGGGACCACTGACCTAGATCATTGATCTATAGGAAGACTGACCACTCAGTTGGTGTTTTTGAAATGCAAAAAGACATGCTTTTCATTTTATCAGCCATGGTGGCTACAAATATGAAAAGGCCGAATATAAATAGTGCAGTCACTGCACATACAGTGCAGTATATACACTAGGAGTTACTTTTTGTTGTTGCTGTATCTGCCTGGGATAAGTGTAATATTTGTCACCATCTCTGCGTTTTGCTTCTTTTACATCTTGTTAAGACACTGTTAAATATGTAAGTTGTAATTATAGCAGCTCTTGTGAAAATCACATTTTAAAAATGACAAATCATGTCAAACCTGCACTGCATTTTGTGGCAAAAATAAACATACAAAGCAATGTGCAAACACACACATAATTGGAAAAAAGGGTCAAAGTAAAGTAAAATTATATAATGATTATTTCAAAAAATGTGGCACTCGGCATAACCCAAGTACTGACGTGACTCACCAATATAAACGGGCGCATAGTTGGACTTGACGTTCTCATCCAGGTATGTAACCCCTAATGTGTATAGAGGAGTAGCACCCACGCCATGTAGAAGCTGTCCCAGCATGAAGACAAAACGATAGTTGGATAAGCCTCCACCCTCCTTGTCCTGGCACGGGCTGGTACGGTTGGCAGAGCACATTCCCGTTCGCTCAGGCAGACTGACTTGGTAGAGGGGTGTGATGAAGTGGGGCAAGGCAAACACGAGAGAACCCAGTGCCATGATTAGCACCCCCCATCCCAGCCAGCGAGGCTTGTGACCTGTGCCGCCGAAGTAACTGACAAAGGCCAGGCAGACGCAGGCAGCTATGTCATAGGAGCTGGCGATGAGTCCGGCTTGGTAGCTACGCAGATCAAAACGCCTTTCAATGGAGGTGACCACTGTGTTAATGAAGCCGTTAACTATCATTCCCTGGAGGAAAGAGGCCACGCACAGGAAGAACAGCACCCAACGAGGGGTGTTGAAAACCTGGACAGCTTTCGGTGTCAAAGCCCCCCAGCCACATAACTGATCTGGCTCAGTCGAGATCAGCTTTAACCCCAAGGCAGTCTCTGCATGGGATCTTGTTTCTACCCCATATATCTGCCTGGGGAGTGTGGAAGCCACAGTGAAAATGTAGGGCCGAATGGGGCCATCAGCCCCGGGGCTGCCAGGGCATCTGGGACCTGAGCCTATGGGGCTGCTTGTCTGGGAGTCCACAGGGCTGGGGGTATCCAGAGAGAGATACCCAGTGGGAGGGCAGTCCTGCAGGTCCAGGAGCTCCTGCTTGGAGCTGAAAGAGGCATCGGCATTAAGCAAGACTGGCATTGCCCCTCTAAGGGGCACTCTGATGGTTCTGTGGCACAGAAGGAAGTTAGGTGTGGGAGGTCTGTCAACTGGGGAAATAGAGTCATATGTTTACAGCCACCATATGAAAAAAAAGGACATGGGGCTCTGTCAGGCTTGTCTCTGAAGTGATCTATTCTTGGCTTGTATATTGTGTCCACAGTGCTGAATGTTTATTAAGGCTCTTCAGGTGCTCCTGGAGAAGGTAGATTCATACTGATGTTGAATGGCATCCTATGGAGAGCAAAGGGAGAGATGATAAATACATAAATATGAGTATCAGTTTTAATAAGGAACTAAATATTTAATAGTTGCATGAATGAATGACTCATATAAATCTGAATGGATGATTCACTGACAAGTGAGAAAATGCACCAGTAGCTAACAATTAAATCTTCTAAGCCTGTTTTTTTGTTCTTGAGAACAATGTGATCTGATGCCAGATGCATCAGAAAAGTAGAATTTTGATGGCTACACTACACAACTGACAGTGTGGCCTGCTGTTACCTTAGCTGCTACCTAGTGGGTTTTTTCTGCCACACATGGATCACGTGGCAAGAGAACACAACGTGCTGGGACTCAAGCTACTCTAATTACTAACCCATAAATTTATAAAGGAATGACACACACTCCCACACAAAACCTATTAAATCTCAAACCACACACACTGGTAATGAACCACAACAAACACTCTCTGCTCCAGCAAGCACAACTACACATCACAGTTTTTATTATCATAACCACAAACATAATGTGCATATCAAGCTATTGACTAGTTAGTGCAGCTTGAAAACATAACAGCCACATTTCGACTTTAGAACATGGTGATAAAATCAAGAACTATTACCAGTTTATAAAGCTTAAAGTGTGGTCAAATCACATTCATGCACAGTTAAATTTATGAACTGATTATTCTTAATGCTGATAATAAGAAAATTGAGATTTTCTGTTGTGTAATGTCAGTATTTTAGATTCAACTTGACAGCCATTTACACTGAGCAATTATTCTGCTGACATCTGCTTATAGTCAGTGGATCTAGAATAGGGTCATGGGGGGACTGCAGCCAATCCCAGCTGACACTGGGCGAGAGGTGGGGTCCACCCTGGATGGGTCACCAGTCTATCACAGGGCTGTCATGTAAACAAACAACCACACACATTCATTCATTCCTAGGGGCAATTTAGTCACCAATCAACCTAAGCTGCATGTCTTTGGACTGTGGGAGGAAGCCGGAGCACTAGGAGGGAACCCACGCAGGCACAGGGAGAACATGCAAACTCCACACAGAAAGGCCCTGGGTCAGCCTGGGCTTGAGCCCTGAACCTGTTTGCTGTGAGGTAACAACACTGACCACTGTGCCAGTTATTCAGGCTTTAAAAATACAATATGTTATCAGCAACCCCAATTCATATAATATAATCACCCATAAAATCCTATCCTCAATAAAAAACAAAAAAGCTCTAAATATATAAACATAAATGAAAATATAAATATAACCCATTGAGCCTCCTACCTTCATCTCCATTGGTGATAGTCAACAGATGTGGTAACGTTTAAAGATGCAGATAAAAAAAAAAGACAGACTAAGTGGAAGAGAGGATAAAATAAAGACAGTCCTAAGCCCATCTCCCAAAGCCTCTTACAGTCCAGTGCTGAGGCAGTACATTCATGAGTACATTCAAATGATCCCAGTCCACATAATCCACCTGAGAGATAACCGCTCCAGGGACACTCCACAGGAGCTTTGCTGCCTTCCACAGGAGGTAAAGTGTGGGAGGCACGTGTGCTGCTGTCTCTACTCAGTCACACACACAAAGTTGTAAACAAGACAACTTTGGACTTCCTGTAACAGAGACTAATTTCCTTCCCTGCCCTGCTCCAGGCTAACACATCCCAGACCAGAATGTCAAAACAGCAGAGTCAAAACAGTCACGGACCTTCCCTCAAGCTCCAAGCATCTTTCAATATATTAAAAAGCATAGTATAGAGATTAGTCACTACAATGAAACAGTAGCGAATTTGAAATTGCAACCTCTAACACAGCTTGTTATGTGGAAAAAAGACCATATTATTTTAACCCCTTTACAACCGGTCAGTACTGACAGCTGATTATGAGCTGTTCTTTTCAGGCTCCAGAGGCTGCCGTTTCTCGCAGCACACATTAGCAACTAATGTTAGCTGTTTTACATCTACCAAGCTGAAGCCTTATTTTTCTAAGGGGTTTGCTGGAGACCGAAAACAGACCTAAAAGGAGAGAATATCGATATGCATTTGTCAGTGGTAATGACCCCAAATGAGTAAGGCTAATGAATTGTTGCTTTATGCCTGCTGAATGCAGCTAGCTAACGGCTTGCTAACACAGACATAGACAGTAGTATGCAGGAGTTGAAACTATCAGCTTGTTTTGATGTTTGTTTTTTGCTCCCTGGTGGCCAAAATAAATAAATAAATACAGCAGTTTTAAGACACTAAAGAAAGTCACTTTCAGCTTTTCCCATTTAGGGGTCGCCACAGCGAATCGTCACACTGACAACTTGCATGTTGACATTTGGCACGTGTTTTACGCCGGATGCCTTCCTGACGCAACCCTGATTCTTTAAGACACTACCTTACAGAAAATATGCACACTGTATGTGCATGTGCTAATGATAACATGCCCTCTCACAGTTATTTTCATTCAACTAGTAAGTGCAATTGTAGTAAATGAAGCTGAAAAGTAGTGGCTATCCCAGCTCATTATCCAGCATGAACATCCCTGAACACCAGAAGGTCCTAACAAGCAAAGCTGTTTGCTGAGCAACACAAAATGAATAGGACTATCCAACGATGCTGCTGCGAAACTTATCTATTCAGTTGATCACTCATAATAAGAAGGAATAATAAGGTTTGGGAGTGAAGACAAGAGCACAAAATCCAATTAAAATCTTATTATGTTTAATTGAAAGGTTTATGAGTAGCCAAACAAAGTTAGACCTTATGTTCAGGTGGAGGTAAATTCTTCAGTGATCACAGGTAGGTGTGCCTTGAAAGCTGAACCAGGGAACTCTGTTAACAATGTACTCTTGTTAGGTAATACCCTCCTTTCTGTTTTCCTGTCCCTGGTTGCTTAGGCATCAAACACAGGCAGACATGGGAAAGTTCTGGGTTATTTATTTATCTATTTTTCATATTACTTCCTATCTAATTCTCTATCTTGCCTTTTCATTTTTGTTTTCAAAGTGAGATCAGAGCAAGGAGCTGTAATATTAATATGCACTGAGCTCTGCCCTCCCTACAAGCTCCTTTATCTTATTTGCTTTGGATCAGGGTTTTTTTTTTCCTCCTCTGTGGTGCACAAAGGCTTTTGAAGTATCAAGGAAAGGTCTGTCATTATTAGACATCTAACAGCACAATTAGAAGTCTTACACACGGATGCTGGTGTTAGGATACACTGCTATGTCACTACTACAAAACAATCTCTATTCACTGGAAAGAAAACAATATTTAGAAATGTCCCTCCTAACCTTTTTTTGTGGGAGATAGAATAATCAGCCTTGATTCCAGTCAGATACAGTTTACAGTAGTATCCTTGTGAACACCGTAGGGACATGCAGTCAGCTTTTTTCATCTCAATCTGGGCTTGTAAATGAAGATTTGTGATTCATTTAAGTTCAATTTTCTTGGTCCGAGGAGTATTTGATTACCAGGAAAAGCTGATATGTGATTGATGTTTGTTACAAGGCGTAGGGCCAAGCTTCCTAAGGGAGAATGATAGTATGACATTTATCCAACTACAGACAGGTGATGAATTAAAGGAGAACCTGAATAAATGAGTGGTCTCTTCCAGGATGATAGTGCCTGTATGCATAGAGCACAAGAGGTCACTAAATGGTTTGACAAGTAGAGGGTAAACACAATGCACTACATAGAAAAGTGATATCAAACACGATCCTTATCACAATTAAGACAGGAAAACACTGCAGAGTAACATTTTTGTTATCTGAAGAGCTGAGATTGTAAAGACAATTTGTATAATCCAAGTGGCAACCTCCAAGATTGAGAAATGTAGCCAATGCAGAAGTGGCAAAACCTGTAGTTCCTCGAATGGCCACTTGAGGCAGGCTTCAAAACAAAGTCAATCCCAATAAATTCCCAAGTTAAAATGGCCAACTTTACATAAATAAACATGTTTACAGCCTGGTGCAAAAACAGTTTTGCTCTCTATAGCTAGTTTCCTCTTCCATGACAACTGTACAGGGGGTGAGTTTACATATAACTCACTTATATATAACTCCAATTATACTGAGACTAACAGTTATGCCTGCGATGGATTGGCGACCTGTCCAGGGTGTACCCCACCTTCGCCCGATTGCCGGCCGGGATTGGCTCCGGCCCCCCGTGACCCCGCTCAGGGAACAAATGGTAGAAAATGAATGAATGAATGAATGCATAACAGTTATGCATTAATTAGGGCGTGGCCACTTTCAGAGGCAGAGGGGAGGGTCCCGCTACTGGTGGTAATTCAGCCCATTCAGCTCCACTCAACGTCCACCTATTTGTTCATTAGATGTAGCAGGAGTGAAGCCCTATCAATTATGGCGACAGCCACTCAAGGGTCGAAAGAAGGGCAGAGATCTCTGCAGACCCCTCACATCCTGGACACAATTGTTTGAACTCCTCCCCTCTGGACGGCGCTACAGGTCAATGTACGCCAAAACAGCCAGACACAAGGGCAGTTTCTTCACCCAGGCTTGTCACTTTGTTGAACACTTAACCCACATATACAGTACCTGAATAACAAGATATAATAAAAACCCACAGTACAACAATTTGTACATACAACCATTGTACATACTTAAATGAAAGCTCTTCTTTTACATATATTTCTTAATAAATTGTTTTTGCCTTTTGTTTCTTATTTAAATGCACATATTTTGTTGTTGTCTTACAAAAGCACATTGACAGCCACTGTGCTGGAGTCAAATTCCTTGTGTGTTCAGCATACTGTGCAAATAAAGATGATTGTGGTTCAGATTATACTAAACATTTGTGCACACTAAGAACAGACATAATGACCTCAGATGACAAGTGTGAAAGTAGACGCACTATTAAAAATGTTAACAGGAAAAAACGTAGGCAACCAAGACAGTCAGTGAAGCGCTTGACTTTGCTGTTTATAAACATAAATAAAGACACCTGAACCCTGAATGCCTAATGCTCTTTATGTCTACCGGTCTTTCTTTCGCTGTGTCTT